CTCTCCATCACCCCCATCTACCTTCGTACTACCATCCTTTTCTCCCCACAGCACTCATCAGTATCGAATTTTGTTGTTGTTGACTTACTTTGTTCATTTGTTTTTGTCTATCCCTTGAATGGAAACCCTATGAGAGCAGGAACTTTGCTGCTTTGTCACTCAGGCGACCTCTGTGCCTACATCTCCTGTGCTCAATGCATGGACGTGGCACATCGTAAGAGCAAAATACCTCTCAGTTGAGTATTGCTGAATAAACTAAATAACCACAACTGGAATCTCCCGGTGGAACAGCTTTGAAAGAACACTCAAGATGGAGAACAGCTGTCTCACTTCCAAATCCCTTACTTGGTTCCATAAACAAAGAAGAGACAATGACTATAGGCTGGCCGGTGACAAAGACAAAGAAAGGCATGGTCACATGCCCTGAAAAGTCTCTGAAGGCAAACAATTCTTCAGGGCCCATAAAAGATGAGCAGCATATACCTTCTCCCTTTCCTCATTTTCAGTAACAAAGGAAGAGCAGGGGCAAAGTCACAGAAAGAAACAAATGATAAGAGATGACTGACAGCTCTCTCATTTGCGCCGTGGTCTCCTATTTTGGAGCCAAAGCTCAAGCAATCAGTCTGGCAGCTCCCCAAAAGCTTAAACACAGAGTTACCAGATGAGCCAGCAATTCCACTCCTGGGTATATATCCAAGAGAAATGAAAACATATGTCCACTCAAAGATGTGTACAAAAATGTTTATAGCAGCATTATTCACAAGCGCTGAAAAGTGGAAATAACCCAACTGTCCCTCAACTGATGAATGGATAAACAAAATGTGATAACATGCATGCATACAATGAATATTATTCAGCAATAAAAAGATATGAAGTACTGACACATGCTAAAGCATGGATGAACCTCAAAAACTGTAGGCTAAGCAGAGTCAGCCACAAAGGATATTTTGTATGATTCCATCTACATGAAATGTCTAGGGATAGGCCAATCAATAGAGACAGAAATTAGGTTGGTGGTGGCCTGGAGCTGGGGGGGTAGGTAATGACACTAATGGGTACAGGGTTTCTTTTGGGGGGCAATGAAAATGTTCTGAAAGTAGACAGTGGTAATGGTTGCCCAACTCTGTGAATGGCATACTTTGTAAATAACCATTAAGTTGTATGATTTAAATCGGTAAATTGGATGAGATTTGAAATATATCTCAATTTTTTTAAAAAACGGCTCAAGCAATAGCCAAATCCTTTTGCAGTCTGCAGAGGGACAGGGACATGTTGAAGCCCCTTGCATATCCCTCACGGAAGGAAAAAAGCAGCCCTGCCCTGTACCATCCGGGGTTTTGTGGAGGTGACCCCTGTCCCCCTTGCTCTCCACACTAGGTTGCCTTGCTCCAATGAGCTTGCCTTGGGCTCCTAACTTCCCTTCACTCATTCAACAGGTTTCTGCTGAGCATCGACTGCACGCCAGGAGCTTTGCAAGGCACAGACCCTGCAGATAAAGGAGGAGCAGGCTTTTCCTTCAAGGAGCTACCACTTTCGTAATTATTCATTCAACCACGGGGCAGGAAACAGCACAAGGAGGGTCCTCAGTGCTATTCTGTTGTGGGTTGCGGGTGGCAAAGAATTTTTCATGCCTGGGTTCCAGGAGCGGGGACTCATGTCCACAATGAAAAAGCACATACAAGTCTGGTATATATATTGGCAAATATCTCAAAGGCGGGGTGGGGCAGAGCTGGGGGTGTGGGGGCACCCCAGGAGACAGATCTGACAGGAAGCTGAAGACACAAAACCCCCGGGGGTCAAGATACAGTGTCAGCACTGCCCTTAAATTCCATCCAGCAGTACTGTGGGTGTTTCCATTTTGTTTGTTTTTTTTAAAGGAAAGAGGAGATGGGGGAGGAAGGACAGAACACGTTATTACTCAGCATTTCCATCGTGTTTAATGTTTGCAAAGCACTCCTGTCCTCACTTAGTCCTGAGCTGCCTGAAATAATAAAGGAATTTGAGAACCCAGCCAAGAACTCTAAGTACTTAGCAGATAGAAGAACCTATCACTGCCTCTGGTAAGGCGGGCACTATGAAAAAAATAACCCCTTAACATAAATACTATTTTAAAAATGAATCCAATGTAATAATCTCTGTAAAGCTCACATGCCACTTGGAGGTGAATGAACTCAGGAAGCTCATGTTCTAACTCTGCCCCTTGACACAAGTCTGTTTTTACAGAAAAGGCTCTGATGTCCTTCTTTGAGATGACAGAGTTCGATGGCTGGCACACCAAATATTTTATGGAGGCAATTAACAAGAAAATCAGCTTCCTGACGTTTGCACCTGCAGCACCTGGATCATCATATTCAAGATGCAGCCTTGATAAAGCCACAGTTTTTTTATGACCGTCTATCAGTGGGCCAGTGCTTCGGGCACACACACTGCTGTGGGAGTGGTAATACGCGCAGCATGTTGTGGCTTTTGAACTGAAGCTTGGAGAATTATTTGAAATGGATGTGTGTTGTGTGTCTGTGTTTACATTTATATTTCACCCAGCTCAGTGACCACCTTGGCTTGTCCGTAAGAATGCTGCCTCTAGGAATGGTCATTGGTCAATTGTGAGGCCACTCGGTAAAGGACAAAAACTGTACACACTTACAATTACCACTATGATGAATCCTATGAGGACACAGTGCTTCCGTGAATTATTTCAAAAAATATGTTGGAGGTCACAAAAAATTTAAAAAAGCATTTTGAAAATGTATTTAAAAGACATCATCAGCTTCGTTTCAGATCAAGTCTCCACTTTTCCCTCCCACACTCAGCGGGAAAATTAGAAAAGCTTGGTTAACAACAGAGAAAGAGAGAGAGAG